TGTATACTCAAATGTCTCTTGTCCGAGCAACTGAAGGCATTGGTACCTTGAATGTTATAAATAACCTTCATCAGCTCTTCCTTTCAGTTATTCACATTGTGACACTATTTAGGGTTGCGTGAAAAAAAAAAAAAAAAAAGGCGAGAATTAAATTAGGTGATAAGAATCTATCACGAAAAGACAATGTTGTTTTTTTTTGTTTTTTTTTCTAACAAAGAAAAGTGGTAAAGATTTTATTTTCATTAGCGAAGAAAGTAAGGTCGCGGATCTGTCACATTTGATTTATGACGGCGCACTGAGTATGGCAATGGTGAAAATTTCAGGGCGGTCAGGTGGCCTACAGGTCAGAATTCTAAGAGATAAAAATTAATTGGGTCGCGGGAAAAATGTCCGCTGGACCACCCGCAGAATACCAAGAAGAAAAGATTAAACCCTTAACTAACTACGGAGGTATCATTTGAGAAAAGGCACCTGTTTTATGTCAAGAGCTGGCCATGATAGCAAAATTATTTTATCAGAACGAATAATTGCAAATTCGCCAGATGACCACCCACTTGATGCTGGCGAGAAGTCTCGATTGATGAACTCCAAATGGAATTTGGTGAAGATAATAGTCTAAGGATTTGTTGCCGAGAAGGAGAAAAGGAAAAAAAAAGGAAGATTTTTCTTTTTTTTTTTTTTCTTTGAGCAAGATTTTTTTTTAAACTGAGCCCAGTCTGGCCACACCCACACTGCTGGACGTCCATTGGCTGAATGGTGACGTGAGCGGTAGGCGAAGGTAATCGTGTGAACAACGAAGGGATCGGTGTGAGATGCCACTGTGAGAGAGAGGGAAAACCGTTGACACCCTCTGAGGGTATGGGTGAGATACCAATATGAGAAAGGAAGAATTTGGGAGGATGAAAGACTTCCAAAAATGGAAATTAATAATTCTTCCTGACTGAGAACAAAGAAAAACCCTTAATGCGGATTTAGAATTATCAGGTAACCTCAAACCCCGACAGGCCCACCCCGGTTTTGGTCAGCGTCCATATAAGCAGTCGCAATGAGTTGCGGCAGTTGAGTTAGCAGTTCGGTTGGAGTTGCAGAGTGAGACCCGCCTCGCAGGAACCTGACTGAAAGATCCCACGCATTCTCGACCTCAACTTCTAACCAAGAACAATTTATTTTTGAAGAACAACTTACTCACGCCACCAAAACAAGTTTTACAAATATCGCCTGAAGATACATCAAGAACCAGTTTCTTAAAGAACAAACAACTTAAGATGTTAAGACTCGCCTAACAAACATAGTGTCACGAATCCATATAGCGGTTTGGGAGAAAGACGCAGTCCTGTATTCAGCAACCAGATATAAAATATTGTTATTCCTTTTTAACACATTTGAACTTTTTGAGTTATTGCTTTATTTTCTTTTACATATGCTTGTGCGGTATTACCCTTGTTCGGACCCGACTTGCATTACGGCCCGGCGACTGATTGATTTTGTCTACCTAAGATCAAATCACAACGTGGGTAGGTTAGACTAGAAATCAAAACAGTTACTTCGGCAACCAGACATTGGAGGCGAGCTGGGAACGGCAAGGCTGATGCCGAATCTAATCAGATTCCCATCTGAATCGGCAAAAGGTTAGAACGTCACATTTGGTGCCGCGACCAATACCAAGTCACATTGGTCGTCACAGGACAGGAGAGGACGGCGGGCGCGGCCAGGCAGATGTCACATTTGGCGCAGTGACACTGGGGGACATCACATCATCCAAGAACCTTTTCCTTCTCTGGTTGTGATGTCTCTTAAGTCTTTTTTGGGTCTTTAATCATGTACATCAATCTTCTGATGCATTTATCTGTGATACCAGCATTCCATAACATTTTACCATACCTATATTTTTTTTCATGGTGTATAGGATTTTGTGATTTTCTTTGGCAACAGCTTGTTGAATACCAATTTTATTTTCCCCATCAACATTAATTTTGGCAGGAATAAAGTAGTAATTTTATTCTGAAGAATAATACAATACTAACAGTAGGAAATGCAGTCTACTGGAATAAGTTAATTGTGAACTTTCACTGCAGTTCTGTTCAACTTCCACTCTCTCAGTAAGAGAGCATGCTAATTTTCTTTTTAGATTAGTTCATCTTGTCGGTGCTCCGGTACTCCATAACACAAGGAATAACTATGATGAAAAACCCTTTTGTAACAGGGCATTAATGGTCTGATATTAAAATGGCTTTATCTTTTCTTCCATTCTCCACATGATGGCTGTTTTTTTTTTTTTTTTTTTTTTTTTCCTTTTCTTCAAACAATGGGATTCCTTATCCTGCCTCTAATGCACACTGACACTTAACGGCTAAAATTGCTGAATCACTGGATTTCTCCTTAGATATATAAAGTAAAAATATCCCACTGATTGAATGATTAGTTGGAGGCAGGCAGCAGTGTGATTGGTGGGCTCATCCAACATTGATCTGTACTCTTCTGTATTGATTGATATTACCATTTACTGGGACTACAGTGGGAACCTGTTTCTTTCAGCTGTTGGATTACAAAATCAATTTGCATATATGCATAGTAACAGGATCAGGGGAAGTAATTTGATGACATCATTCTGCCTATGAGGCCAAGGATTGAGTAGTTTTGGAAAATAAAAAAAATTCCTTCCACTAAATTTTAAAGATTTTTCTAGCACAACCATTTAGTTTTGTTGAACTGTCATTTCTCTAGTGGCCAGTTGCAGTTGCATAGTGGTGCTCCTTGTTCTACCTGACTCTAATAATGTAAACGAGTTAAAACCTTGTTACATTCTGAGTTTAAACTCTGACAATTCAATCTATTGTAATTGAATGCCTTTCATAATTAGTTCTTTTAACTTTATCTTTTACTATATACATAAATCATAATTCACACCCATTGTTCCCCACTTTATTTTAACTCCTTTACAGGGCAACTTCAACCAGTTGTCTTATATATAGGCATTTCTAATAGAAAGCTTTTGTCAATAATACTATATTTCATATTACACTTGTTTCAAGGTCTGGTAAATGGATAGAAATCTTTAGATAAAAATGAACAGATTTATTTTTGAATTATGTGCAAGGATATTGCAGTAACTAAAGTTAATAACTTGATTACAAGTAATTATGTAACAGTAATTTTAATATCACTGAATAACTGTTTTAATATATAACAGTTTTTGTATTAATCTGAATTTTTTTTTTCTTTTTCACTTTCAGGTAGCATTGAAGCTTACAAAAATTCGCCAGAACATAGAGATAAATATGCAAAGTTTGTAGCCATGAAACGTCATCATCGGCGTTTTTGTAAAGTAAGTCAGAAAAAAAATAAAATGCCATTGTCTTTTCTGGTTTCTATGCTTATGTAATATTTGTGATCTCTTTCCTGAGTGTCATCTTTTTCAAATTTGATTACAATCAAGACACACACACACACACACACACACACACACACACACACACACACACATATATATGTTCATGAGATCGATAAAAAAAAAAAAGCATACCATGAATAAAAAAGGCCTTAAACTTGATGAAAATAATTTATCGTCTAAATGTTAATGTTATTATCAAGAGGAAAGATCAAAGTATTTTGAATATTTTTTCCTTTTTTTTAATAATTTCTAGCACGTCCAAAATTTTCATTAAAAATTTTGAATTTTTTTTTTTTGAATCAGAAAAATTGACAGAAAATCAATCCTCAGCCGTTTTTTAAACTTTTGTTTACAAAAGTGAATGTCGCCGTTTAAAATTCATTAAAAAAAATCGATTATGATTTTTTTTAAAATAGTTTTAAGAAAATTAGAAATTATAAAGTTTATTTAATATATTTTGAAACAAAGATTGCTTATTTTCTGCGCTGAAAAAATGTTGTTTCAAATTGGAGAAAACCAGTCTGAACTGCAGTGTTGAGTGACATGTGCGTTATTTCATCACGCACTGACATGTTATGTGAGGAAATTTATAGTACAGAAGGTCATAAGTGGCAGTTTACCTTTCAGTTAACAATTTATTTACTTCATTATTTTTAAGTAGGCATAGCATGAAAAACGGCCTTAAATTTGATGACAGCAGAATTTTATCGCCAAAATGTTTACTATTAAGGGGAAAGAACAAAGTAATTTTTAATTATTTTTAAAGAATTTTCTGTCTTTATTAGAATGTTTTAACTTTTGATTGAAAAATCTTGTTTCTCGTCATCACCAGAACTCTAGTAAATAACATGGCAAATTTTTTTTGCATTTTTTTCTTATGACACACATTAATTTTGAAAATCTTGCAAAAATAGAAATAATTGGCAAATTTTAATGAAACTTTCAGAAACTATTCAGGAATGATGGAAGTTATCATACTTTTTTAAAGTAATTTTTTTATATATCTTCCCCCCCTAATTTAATGAAAACTCTAGAAATTCAATGTTGAAGCATGCAAGTTATTAAGGAAAATTATCAGCGCTCACTTTTTTTTTTTTTTTTTTACACTTACCTTTACTATGCTTCATGGAAAAGCAAAATATATAAAAAAAAAAAAATTAAATCAGACATGAAGAGTGAGATCAAATTTCATAAGAAAGATACCTAATTAATTACCTTTCTTATGAAATATCAGTAGTGTACATTGTATGGTATTTGGATTTCCACTCATTTTATTAATTTTGGTATTTTGTATATGGAAAAAATGACATAACTGATAAAACTGAGATCATATAAATTTTGTAAGTACATAATACAAGTTGAAATGCTAGATATTTTATTTTTTTCTATATAATCAAATACACTTATTTTATTTTTCATAGCCAAGTAAGAACAGGTTTAGAAATTCAATGCAATCGTTATGAGATGTTCATGAATTTTTTTTTTTTTTTTTTTTTTTTTTAAGTAAAACTTCTCCATGTGTTTCGCCAACCGTAAATGTAAAAATGTAAAGGCCATTAACAATGCTGTACAACATTTTTATACGAAATAAAGTCACGTGATGTTTTTATTGTATCATGTTTCTTCTGTGCCTCCGTACATTTGATTTGTTTTTTGTTAACACATAGGGCAAGGAAAAGTAAGATTATTCTCATTGGTGGTTCATTGATCATAAAAACCTTGTGCTTTTTATAATCTGTACAGATACATGTACTTAAAAAAAAAAAACATTAAATACAGAATTTGGCATTTCCACTAATTTTACAATATTTAACAACTTTATGTAAAAATAATTTATAATTTTTCATCGAAAAAGTTTTTTGCCTTCAGACAATATTATGCATATTGATAAAAACAAATAAAAGCAACTAAAAGCATTTAAAAATGAAATAGTATCTTTTTGTTTTATTGAGTTTTGTATGTTACAATTCAAAGCTGATTTTAGGTTAACGAGGGCAGATTTTAAAAAAAAAACAGACATGATTTACTTTCCTCAAAGCCTTGTGTTTTTAACTAATATAATGACTTGTGTGCTTCAACATTGAATTTTTAGAGTTTTCATTAATTTATTTGGCGGGGTGGTTATATTTATATATATATATATATATATATTTATAATGACTTTAAAAAAGAATAATATATTTATAATAGTTTCTGAAAGTTTCATTAAAATCTGACAATTATTTCTGTTATTGCAAGATTTTCAAAATTAATGTGTCATAAGAAAAACAAAAATGTACAAAAAATTTGCCATGTTATTTACTAGAGTTCCGGTGATGAGAAACAATTTTTCAATCAAAAGTTAGAATGTTCGAATAAAGACAGAAAATTTTTTTTAAATAATTAAAAATTACTTTCTTTCTTCTTAATAGTAACATAAACAATTAGATGATAAAATTTTGTTTTCAGCAAGTTTGGCATCTTTTTCATCAGACTATGATCTTTTTTAGCAATCTCATGGAGGTGCCTATAATATATATATATATATATATATATATATATATATATATATATATATATATAATATGGCTGACAAGGAAGATTTTCTTTTTTTCTAGGTTAAAGAACATAGGATTCTCCACAGTTATATTGTTCCAAATGTTTTCGGCTAGTTTTATAGCCATTATCAAGGATGTTGTTTTTGGACAATGAATTTCTCCACGGTTTTTGCATAGTAGCTTTGCTGTGTAGAGTATGTGCAGCAAGTGTTAAATGCTTTTTGGTGGTCATGTGCTATCTTTAGAAAAATGTAAGTTTTCTACACAACATTCATGATAGAACTAGCCGAAAATGTTTGGAACAATAACTATGGAGAATTCTTTATATTCTTTTAATCCCTGAAAAATGAGAGAAAAAAAAAATGTAGAATGCGGGACAAACTCAATAAAAGATTAATTAAATTTTCCTTGTTGGCAGTTTTCAATGAAACATGCTTGAAAGAAAGGTTGCTGCCTAAATACACATTGATTGAGATATATATATATATATATATATATATATATATATATATTTCCCCCTTATGCTTAACCCCCAGAAACAAACAAGTTGTTACATTATAAGGATGCTAGTAATTTGTATAGAGAGGCTAAAAGAATCAAATCAGTTCTCAGTTTCAATAAGTGGAGAGGGCAGAGATAATGTGCTAAGGTTACCAAGATCTATGGTCAGAATAAATTTTCTGTTCATTCCATAACTTTTGTTATACTTTTAGTTCTTAATCTCTTGTGTGAGCAGTAGTAAAAGATTTCTGCCATCCTTGAGGTTAACCCTTGCTCGCACATAAAGGGAGACTACTATATTTTTTATTTTTTTAAATTTTTATTTTAAAGTTTCTCTCAGCATTCTGCCTTAAGTTTTATGTAAAAAAAAATAAATGTGGCTTTACCAAGCAACTTTAAAGCAGTATAAATTAAAGTAAAATTTATTAATTGAAATAAGAACCATTAGAATATTTGCATTGTTGCTGTTTAAACTTTTGATGGCCAAAATGACTGGCATAAATCACTGAAAACCAGTCATGCTTTAAATTAGGTACCTCCACTTTTTCATTGCAAAAAACAAAAAAAAAAGTCATAGCAAGATGAAAAAAGGCCCCAAACGTAATAAAAACAAAATTTTATCATCAAAATGTTTATTAAGCGAAAAGACCAGAGTATTTTTTTTTATTAAAGTTTTTAATCCTTTCTGCCATATTAAAAATTTTGGTTTTATTTTTATTTTATTTTTTTTTTTTGTGTGTGTGTCAGCAGTGTAACAAAATTTTAGTGCTTTCTCTCCCCCCCAATGTCATGAAATTTCTAGAAATTAAATACTGATCATAAACTTTGTTCCATTAGTTAAAGCAGGACTCCTTAGAGAATGTATTTTTTTTTTTTTTTTTTTTTAAAGTTACTGTTTTGCTGAAAATCTGCTCCAAATAGTAAAATAGATGCAATAAAGCTCTCTAATTATTAGATAAGCTTTTAATTGTTTTTATAAATAATATAAAGTAAGGACATCATTAGAGTCTTAAGAATAATGAATTTTTACAAGAATTGTTTTTATTTTAATTATAATAATTTATAAAGTTTCAAATTCTGCAAAAATTTGATTGCGTTAAGTGAAACCTATTTCCTAATCACAAATTGAAAAGCTTAATACAGATCAACATGCACTAAGATTTTTAAAAAAAATTTTTTTTTTTTTTTTTTTTTTGTATATAAATGTGCCCATTTTGAAAGTATGGGTGACCATACACAACATTACCAGAAAATAGGAGCTATGATTATAGTAAATTTAAACTCAACATTACTAAAAGTAGATTATGGAGAATATTTTCCAACAATACTGAGTGCTTAAAAATTATATAATAAAAGGCATTTGCCTGTCATTTTCTAAAATTTTTTTTTTTTTTTTTTTTTTTTTTTGAAAAGCTAAAGTCTCCGTAGAACAAACATGTCAACACCTTATCAGCACGTCATTGCTCATCAATTACATAAACATGTCTGATATCGGTTAAAAATTGCAGCTGCTGTTTGTTTTTTTTAAAAGCGCATTTTGTACATTTTAAACGTAAATATTTAACTGAAATATTTGTTTCATATCAGATTAATTATACTTTAAATCAGCTCATATTCCTCAGTTTCAGGAAAATATATTTAGAATTATATTGAAAGACTTAAAAGAAAAAGGCTAATCAGCTATTTCAGCAAAAAAAAAAAAAAATTTGAAGAAAATTGATTTGAATTGATATAATTTCTGTTTGAAATACACTAAAGAGTATTTTGTTTACTAGAAGCTTTCAATTAAAGCTAAAATGAAAGTTTCAAGAAAACCGTCATTTTTAAAAATTCATTTTAAACCTTGGGTATCACAAATTAGTGTAGGTACATACTTTAAATACTTGCATGTCTTGTTTGATAATAGCTTATTAGCATCAGTTTGATAAAAAAGATAAAAAAAAAAAAAGAGAAATTATTTTTGCACCAAACTAAATTTTTCTTTCTATTTATTAAAAAATAAAATATGGCCATGTTGGCAGAATGAATTCGGTTTTATAACTAAGCTATATATTTACTTTAAAATATTCTTAAAAAAGTGGACAAATTCAGCTAACTTAATTACTTTTGTAAAATTGTAATGCTTGAGAATTATTTAACTTGCTGCATTATTGTAAGTTCATTAAATTGCATGTAATAAGTGAATATTTGCATAACAATTTGATTTTGTAATGTAATTTACATATGTCCACATGTGCAGAAGTGAATTTCTTGAAGCTTTAAAAAAAGTTTTTTTATTCTTACAGGAAACAATCCTTTATCAACAGTCAAAACGGCGAAGGATTGCAATGACAGAAGGTCCTAACTATCGCCCACCAGGCTATCCAAAATGTATTCACTCTGAAAGCAATGTCAAGTGTAATTCCAGAGCTATGCCACTTTCAAAGTTCTGCAATGAACGTATCCTTTGAATTTTATTTCTTTTTCTCTCTCCCTATTTCCGTGTGTGTGTACACTCACTCCACTCACACACACTTATGTATTCATAAGTGTTTCAGTGTCTTAAATTGCAAGCTAGAAAATAAGGCACAAGTCTACATTTAGAATTTAGACTTTAATATTTTTGCCTACATAAGTACTTCAACATTTTGGAATATACACTTTTTTTTTCCTTATACCGCTCTTGGGCTATAACAGTTCCATTTTTTTTCTCCTCAGAATCTTTAGTATTGCATATTTAACATTTATCTAAAATCTTAGAATATAAATAAAGACTTCACCCATCTGTACATATAGTTAACTTCATTTCTGTTAATTTGTTCATGAAAATATTCAGTGAACTGTACTAGTTCTTTGGTCAACATAGCTACATTGTGTCAAACATTGTTTGTTACAAAGTCAGTCTCTCTCTCTCTCTCTCTCTCTCTCTCTCTCTCTCTCTCTCTCTCTTCTCTCTCTCTTCTCTCTCTCTTTCTCTCTCTCTCTTTCTCTTTCTCTCTCTCTCTCTTTCTCTCTCTCTCTCTCTCTTTCTCTCTCTCTCTCTCTCTTTTCTCTTTTCTCTCTCTCTCTCTTTTCTCTCTCTCTCTCTCTTTTTTCTCTCTCTCTCTCTTTTCTCTCTCTTTCTCTCTTCTCTCTCTCTCTCTCTCTTTTCTCTCTCTTTTTCTCTCTCTCTTTCTCTCTCTCTTTTCTCTCTCTCTCTTTTCTCTCTCTCTCTTTTCTCTCTCTCGTTTTTTATTTTGATTTCATGAGCTGGAACTGTTGCTTGCAAACTTAGTGGATAGGAGAGAAAATCATAGCCAAATTTTGACTTTTGTCAATATAAACAAGAATGAACATTAACTTTATAAGATCTGAAAATACTTTGAGATCCTGTGCAAATAAGTTGTATAAAAGTTATACATTCACCTATGTTTCTGTTTCTATCTATACAAAATCTCTGAAAGTTCTTGATAAATTTTGGGGATATTTTGTGGAAGGTTGAACAAAATAACAATTGATTTTAAGTTTTATTAACTGGATTCAGTAATAAATATTACATATGGTCCAAAAATGTAAGAAATATGATGCCGGGGAGGGTAACTGACTCTCCTGGCTATAACAAAGTTTGAAACGTTTTCAAATTTCTTCTTTTTTTTTTTTTTTTTTTTTTTTTTTTAATCTCTGAATAATTGTAAGCTTTTATCATAGTAGTCTGCATTATTTTCTAAGCAAATAATTCACTTTTTAGTGGCATTGGCTCTCTGCTCTCTTTTGTAATGGCTTCAAACTAAGATACATTTAAAATATAAGTAGGTTGTAATTTCAACAATATCAAATTAATGGGTCCTCATTTAGCATAGACAAGTTCTTTCAGTTTAAAATGGCAAACACTGTAAGTGTTTAGCATGTTATACTATCAATTACAAATCAAATTTACTTACTTTTATATGCCTGATAGACTGGGTGGGGATGTTTCATTTTTCTCTACTCTCAAGCTTATATGTATTTATTAATTTTTTTTCTGATCCACCCTTTATTAAAACATCCCACCCTGTATTAGGCACCTAAGAGTAATTTAGAAATGTATATATAATGTTGCTGTTGGTTGTATAATAATAGCAAAATCGGATAGGCATGAACATGAAATTTTGCTTATATATCTTCTGTTCTAAAATATTTCAGTGTTTCAAATGTTTTGAAAATTTTGACTTTATACAAACTCATTTAACACACAGGCATTCATCTCTGAAGTTTCTCTTTAATTGTTCAGTGTGTTAACATTAAAATACAAATTGAACTGCTAAATGGAAACAATTTTTCTGGTATATTTTGAAACTTTCAACAATTTTATCAAATTCCTTTTCTTAAGAGCAAATCATTTCACTTTTTATTGTTGGATTTATTCTATCTTAAATATTTTTCCTTGACTAATTGTGCAGATATCTTGTATGACCCTCATCAGGTGCTTTACCAGCCATGTCCATTTGCTGATGGTGCCTGTGCCAAACCTGTGGCTGTGATAAATGACAACTATTATTGCCAGCAACACATACATCTGCAAGAATTCCAGCTTAGAGTACCTCCCATTAAAATTGAAACAAAAACAAATGATCCTTGGATGATTTCATTATCTCATTCTTGACAAACCATTACGTGAATGTCAAATGTTAATGTCTCATTAACAGTTATTATTAAATGGTGTTGACTAGTCAATTTATTGGCTACATGTGCAGGTCTCCTTATGGAGTGTAAGGATTTGGTAGCATGAAACTGGCAGTTACACCATTTTTATTTAGATTTATTAACAAATCTTGTATGACACTTATCTATCATTTTCTTTTTTATTATTACTACTACTACTAAATAAATAAATAAAAAAAATATTTGTGCTTAAAAATTGTAATTTTTAAATGCAAGGAAAGTTTTTCTCATTCTTTATTCTTCTCCCCTTCTATTCTTAAAACTCTGAACAATAGTGTTTTTTTTTTTTTTTTTTTTTTTTTCTCTCCACTTAAAAGAAAAAAATGTTGATAATATTATTAAATAATCAAATCTTCGAATCTTTGGTTAGCATTTAGGTATGGCACTTTTGCATTACAAAGAAATATTAAAAATTGATAAATCCAAACAAATTCTGAAGGTTTAAAAAAAAAAAAGTCAATATAGTTAAAGAAAATTACACTTGTTCATAGTTACAATTTTTTTTTTTTTTTTTTTTTTTTTTTACAAAAACTCTAAGCTATGTAGGCATTTTTTATTCTGTTGGAGTCTGATGGTATAGTTTAGCTTTAGATCTAGAAGAGTGGCCATTCAAGACTACTTTTGTTATGTGATTTGTTAAAGATTGGCTAAATTCTTGATTTTATCTAGAGACGCCATAGCCCTTCACAAGGCTGAAGGCCAACATTCCACCCCCCCAAACACCTTTTGAGATATCTAATGCTGCAGCCTGAGCTTCACTGTTCTTATCTAAAAAATGACACTTTTTAGTAATAATTATTAACACATTGGCAGTCAACCTAGAGAAGTGAAAGCTATACTGGTTGTATGAAAGAAGAATGTGAGGTGAGTTGTTTAACTAACTCGAATTGATTTGAGCTTTGAGTACTTTGCCAAAAAGAGGTAGAAGATTAATAGGTTGATGGTTAGATTCAGATGATTCACCAAAGTTCTTCAAAATTGGAACTATAGAAGAGGTTTCCCAATAAACCAGAAAGTAGCAAGGCCTTTTTTGTAGAGTTTAGACACAACAACAGCCAGTTCAGGAACGCTTTTCCTTAGAACTATTGCAGGGATACAATAGTCTATATGCTTTGTGTAGAGATATGGAAACCATGGACAGTTATATCCATATCACACAGAAGAAACTTGGTTTTGGGTGAAAAAAATCTGCAAATCGTATTCTGGCCTTCTTCGGGTGTCTCATACTTAGTAGCGTGAAAAGTTTAAACTGAAATCTATAAGATGGTTAACATTCCGTTTACCATGTTTAGGGGAGATAACTCTTATCAGTTAATACTTTAATCTTTTGAATTGCATTGACTTTAAGACGCCAAAATTACGCAACTATTGTCTAGTCGATTAAAGTACTGTTTAAAATAGCTTGGTTCTTTAGCAGTTGTGAATTCAGTTGTCAGTATGGAAAAGTCATAATCTTCCTCAGTGAAGCAATAGACATGCATAATACAAAGGAAATACTCTTGACTAAACGGAGATAATATGCTTAAGTTTTAAAATTAAGTCACCCTCCATGCATGCATGATGGGAAACAATGCTATCTTGACTTACATAATTTGAACCCTAACTTAAAAGTTTGAAAATTAAAAAATTCATAGGTTTAAATAACTCTAATGTTCATGTATATGTGAACACAGATTTTGTTTTTAAAATTTAAATATGCTAGAGAAAGTCATTCCAGCTTTATTTTGTAAACAGTAAATGTTTATGGACAATATTAACAAATTTTTAACAATCTGACAAAATCTTTCTATAAAGTCTTTCTAAAAATATTGGTAAACTCAAGAGATGAATAACTGTCTTTATGCAGCTGTCATATCTGGATTGATGTTGCATAGATTTAACAAGTTTTACTAAACTTTGGTCTCATAAACTAGGAATTCATTAATTTAAAAAAAAAAAAAAAACTTCACTGTAATGTTGAGACTCTGGATTTACCAAAATTAACTTTGACAAATTGCTTTTAAGCAATTCTGACCATAACTATACTTACAAAAAAAGAATGCATCACTAAAATTGTTTCTAAAAATGTAGGATTCCTTCAAAAAATACTTTGTTTTTGGGAATCAGTAGCCTTTCATAAAAAAAATTCATAGTTTGTATTAAGATCAGTACAGAGAAATTTTTTATCATTTTAAGGGAAAATCAAGTGAGGCGATTTTTTTTTTTTTTTTTTTTTTTTTTTTAAATGTCATGGCACTTAAGGGAAGCTTCTAGCTTTAATTCTCCTCCCACAGTCAAAGAAACAGATTTGGTTAAAATAGCAAAATAATTATTCTATTAATGATTATAAAACCTCGTATGATTAAATGCAAGATGGAATATACCCACAAATATGGTGGGGGGGGGGCTTGTTGCCATCAAACCTACATGGAAAATGTAACACCTGTGCAAAAGATACATAAATGCACCGGTTCATCTTTATTCTACATATCGTGTGGCAATTAAGTAGATTTTTTTTTTTTTAAATTTCTATCCTTGCAAAGTTCTTGAATCTTTGTTCTTTTAGGTGATAAACTATGACATTAGAATGTTAAAAGATGAAAGGTTTAAAATAGTTTCAATATTTACATGAATAGGTGAAAAAGGGGGGGGGGAATCTCAAAGTGGCCAATATTTTTGTTTTTGATCGTGATTGATTTTAATCACTGGTCTTTGAACAATCCATTGAATATGCTAGATATTTCAATCATCTCGAAATGGCAATCTGTCCTTAATTTAAATTTTATATCATCCTTAAAACCCTTCAGTCTCATTGACCTTTTCAAATATTTGACTGATTACACCAGGTTCAAATAAATATTGACAATAAGTTGTACCTTTTTTTTTTTTTTTTTTTTTTTTATAGTACTCACTTTTCTGGATATAATGATATATATGGAAATTCTAAAGTGATACTCAACACGTAGCAGCAATCTATTAAAAGCAATAAATACCTTCATCTCACCTATATTGGAGAGAGGAAAAAAAAAACGTGGAGCTTATTCGTGTCCGAGCTTAGATCGGGACATGTTTATTATAAAGATTCCAATTTCAGAGGAAAACCTATTCGAGCGAAATGAAATAATTATCTCCCTTGATATATAAGACTTCAGTTTGGTAACGTAATTTTGACTATTCTCTGGGTTTTAAATTTTTTTTTTTTTTTTGCTTTGTTTAATAAAAGTGCTTGATTGCCTTATTGCATTGAGGGGACAAATGAATGGGGGTGGGAGATCAAGGAAAGGTAAGATTTGGTTCCAAAGTCCAAATATTTAATCAGCTTGATTTAGCTTTTATTTGTTGTTTTGTGTTTCAAAGAGAGGAGGGCTTCCTCAGGACTGTTTATAACCATATGTAAGTACCTAGGTTTATAGCAGGGGTGGCTAAACTGTGACATGCAAGCCATATGCAGTTTGTGAAAATATGTTGGCTGAACTCCTTTTTTCATCAGTTAAAAAAAAAAATTTATAATTATTTGCTTATTATACAACCCCATTGGATTAGAACCTTGGTTTAATGTTAATGTAATAAATACGTATGTGTACCTTTTTGTTCATGTCTTGTGTCTCTCAAATATTTCAACTTTATTGTATGTGGCTCTTAAATTAAGCATGTTTGGCCACCCCAAGTTTAGAGGAAATGAATGTAATAATTCTTGGTTGATTTCTTGAACAAGGAAAGCAAAAGTTCATTAAGTCAATATAAACTATTAAGCAGAAATAGATTATTTGTTACACATTTTGGCACAAGAATTTGTTTATATATAAATAAAAACAAGCTAGGGGATAGCAAATGCCTACATGAACAGTTAGTAAATTGCACAATCTTTCTTTCAAGCCATAAAAGTTCTAATTCCGATTTTTCAGAAAAAGTGGTATACTTTATATTTTAATA